CAAATTATTTTATACTTGTCTCTTTCAAATGCATTTAAATGTTCTTTTTGATTATTTTTTATTTATTTTTATTTTATTTTTTTGAGGCAGGGTCTTGCTGTGTCGCCCAGGCTGGAGTGCAGTGGTGCGATCATGGCATTCGAGCATGAGATGCTCAGTCCTCATGCACTCAAGCTATTTTCTGAATTAGATCTTACAGGTTAGTGTTTAATCTGACCATGTAGTATCATAATCCAGTATAGACAGGGTCTAGTTCTTGGAAAATAAAATCCAGCCCTTTAAGGATATAAAGCTATCTTCTCTCCTCAGCCTCAGGTCAGTAGTGAGGACCACAGGTGCATGCCATCATACTCAGGTAATTTTTAAAAATTTTTGTACAGACGGGGTCTTACTATGTCGCCCAGGCTGGTCTCGAGCTCTTGGGTTCAAGCAATCCTCCCACCTCAGCCTTCCAAAGTGCTGGGATTACAGATGTGAGCCACTGCGCCCAGCTGTTTTTTTTTCCCCCTGTAGAGTTTGTGCATTTTTATTATGCTGCTTGCTTTGATTCTGTAGGATCACAGGATGGCTCCTCAAATACACTGATCTATTTTCCGGTTTTGTAGCATTCTTTAGGTTTTACACATTACTATAAATGGTCTTTTCTAGTCTGCTACTGAAATGAATTATTTACCTTTGTGTGCTGGCTGTGGTGGTAACTTCAGAAACAACTTAAGCGAGTGAATCTTGGTTTGCTCTTTTATAAGGTGTGCAGCCTACTTGAGCATTCTTTTGATTCTTATACCTTTGTATAGTTTAGGGGCATCTCTGAGGCTATTGGGCTGTTTGGATGTCGTTTATCATGTCCCTGCAGGGTCCACCCCATCAGCTGTATCACTGCCGATCTGTTTTTGTTGTAAACAGATGACCTTTCATCACACCGTTTTTACTCTGCCATCTTCTTTCTTATTTTAACTTTTCTTCTTTAATAATAAATATAGTTATTCTTAGTTCATCACGAAGTTTTGTAGAACGAAAATAATTAGTTCCCCAAACAGCCAGTGACGGCGATATGATTTTTTCCATATTCTGGGTATAAGGAGAGGAAAATGGGATCTCAGAGAAGTGATATGATTGTCCTATATATAATCACAAAGCAAGTAAACATCTGAGTCACGGTCTTTGAACACATGTGTCTGTCTTATGCCAGTGACCATGCTCTTACCCACCTTGCTCTTCTGCCTCGTTTATCTTTGGCTGTGATTTGTATGATCATTGCCTGCCAATCATAGTGTTTTCACTAACTGGTGTATTTGCCAATAAGCAATGAATCTTCAGCATCTCTTTGTTCTCTCTGAAGAACTTTCACCTTGAGGCTTCTTTGTTGCTTCTTGGATTTACCAAGATTTTATTCAAGTATGGGTGTAATTCTTCAGAGTAACAGATACTCAGAGTGTTTACACGATATATCTGTTATTTATGAAGCTGTTTTCAATTAAAAGGTCACATGTTTTTCTTATAAACCATGGCATTCCAGAAAACAATGTTGCCTAGTCTTTTTACTACACTAATGCACTTAAAATTTTGAATAGCAACTCAACACGAAGTACCTTGTGATTGTTGCTGTAACCACTTTAATTCATGCAATTTTAGTTGTTTCTCTTTTAACTGAAAAAGTGTGAAAATTTTTGAATAAAGCAATATATATTACCATGATAGGTTAGCCGAAATAGTAAATCACTAAGAGTGGTGTGATCTCATGGTAATAAAGTATGTGATGTGACAGAAACATTCAAGCATGAGATGCTCAGTCCTCATGTACTCAAGCTATTTTCTGAATTAGGTCTTAGAGGTTAGTATTTAATCTGACCATGTAGTATCATAATCCGTTATTGATAGGGTCTAGTTCTTACAAAATAAAATCCAGCCCTTTAAGGATGTAAGATGGTAATTTTATGGGCTGGGCGTGGTGGTTCATGGCTGTAATTCCAGCACTTTGGGAGCCCCAGGCAGGCGGATTTGAGGTCAGGAGTTCAAGACCAGCCTGGTCAACATGGTGAAACCCGATACTAAAAATACAAAAATCAA